TATGGTTTGAATTCTAAATTTGCTTTTATATTTATATAATTTTATATACATAATGTTCAAATCATACTTGATTTTGACTTCAAATTGGATTAAATTTTGTTTGAAAGTGTTTGCCTACACTCTCAAATGTCTCTAATTCAATTTGATGATTCTTATCTTTTATAGTTAAATATTTGAATTCATAGGTCATTATGTGCCCTATGACTTTAATAATTTACGATAATTATTCCGTAGAATATTAGGGCACTTTATCTTGTTCATGATTTGCTTTATGGTTTGATTGTAATTAGTGTCCAAGGGTTAGTAGAACTTGATTGTAATCCAACAACTTAGTGACATTAATGACAATAATTAAGACATGTCTTAGCTAACTTAGCCAAATCTAAGGTGAACTACACACATTCCTTTTGGGATGAAACTCAAACCTAGCAAACTAGTGTCATAAATCCCTTGATCTTATATATTTCATTTAGACATTAATTAATCTCAATTAACTAGTAGATTTAGGTAACCCTTCATTAAGGGTCTTGCTTTTTTTTTTAAATAAATTTAATAAGTTAAATAAAAATTCCTAAAAATCTAAAATAAATCTCAATTAATTTCAATCAACTATAAATCAAACTTACAATCACTCAAAATAAAAACTAAAGCTTAAATCTCATTAAACTTAAACTAACCCTTAATTAAACATCAACTAAATAAATACCTTAAAAATTAATACAGATACCAAAAATATAAAATAAATTCATTTAAAATCAAACAAAACTAGAAACACATTAATTTTAATTTTAAATAATTTTCTAATTAGAAATTCTTTAATAATTCACTAATTAAACAACCTCTTTGATAAATCAATAAAATAAGACTTTGTCTTTCTTTTCATATCAAAAGAAAGCCGTTCAACTTTAGAAAAGGCGCGAAGCATCTGTGTCAAATCGAGTGTTTAGTCTACCGCGTTCAAGCTATCAAAAACCATGCCATTCTCCCATTAGACTCTTGTTGGAAAAACCAACGCCAAGACAATGATTAGTCTCTTTTAGGGAGCAGAGCAGTCACAGAAAATAAGTAAATTTAAAAATTCATAAAAATTCAAATAAAACTAAATTAAAATCAAAGATAAATAAGTCAATTTAAATAAAATTTCTGAACATTATTTTCTAATTTAATTTTATTAATAAATCATTTATTCTTAATTAAATTCACTAAAATTCAACAAATGATAAAAAATTCTAAATATTACAATAAAATTCATTAAAATTTAAATTAAATTTTAATTCATTTAAATTAAATTAATTTGATAGTTTGATTGATTAAGATTTATTTTAATCAATTAAATTTGATTATTAATTTAGAGTAAATGGATTAAGACCTTTATGCCTAAAGCTTGATTCCTTTTGGAGGGCTTAGACATTTTGATTTAAAGGGCCTTTAATATATCTAAATAACCAAAAGATCTCCTATGTATTGTGCACAACTTCTTTTAGGAAAACACTAATACATTTGAATTCGAAGATCTTCAAACTCTTAATAATATATCGACCTTATGTGACATATACGACTCTTTAGGGAAAGTATTGCACATTGCATTTGTAAGGTCTCTTTCTCTATCTCTAATACAAATTTGGGGACTCTCAAATGAATACCTGTCTTCTATATAAGATGGGTGTTCATTCTAAAAGTCATAGGACTTATAAATTGATAACTTTATGCACTTAGGTGGTTATCAATCTACAAATTCTTTAAAACTAAATCAAATAACTTTAACATCTAAAACTGGAATAATTTTAAAAAGTTAAATACACATTACTTAAACTTTAATCAAATTCTCTTTCAGCCTTTAATAATAAACTTTAATAATATATGCAATCCAAACATAAACTCCTATAGGATCTATCCAAGCCACACTACCTCTTTCACACACTTAGATTCTTGCTAGGACAACCAACTTTAGCCTAGGCTAGGCCGATGGATTGTTGTGGTTTGATTGCGGGTGTCTTGCCTTGAGGGCACCTATGTTTGACTGCTTACTTTCCTGCAAATCATAGGATGCATATTTACTTTCTGTCAGTGCATCAGAGAGCGGAGTGAATAAGTGAAAGTCGTGTACTTCACTTTACTGTCTTTACTTTCTTGCATTTATAACTGTTCATAATGCACTCATCGCATGCATACCAATACAACTGCTTTTACTTTCCTGCTTTTATATTCCTACAAAAGTAGAATGTTCCTAGGGATTGATGTATTTGTAAAGAAAAAAATAAATTTTATTCTTTCTAGATTGTTGTATATATATTGAGTCTATAAAGTATCTCAAGTCTGTAAAAGGATTAAAAGTAACTGTTTATACACATATAGATGGGGCTCCAAAAAGTAATATCCTCCACCAAGAGGATGTTCCTTTTTGGAATTCTATAGAAGACTTGGAGCCTGAAGACCATAAGCAGTTACATTTAATCCTACCCTCTTATAGGCTTATAACCTAGGTTTGTAGTCTGTGGGACTTAGCCACCTTTAATTTACTGTAGACCCTGGGATGTAACATGTAAAATTTATATTAATAAAATCAGCTCTTTCATATATATAACTGTCTCATGCATCATCAACATACAAGTAGATTTTCAGTTTTTGTAAGCATATTCTACTGCATTCGATTTAAATTCTTTAATCATTCCTTGATTCATAGGATAGAACTACCTTAAATCTTGCATTCATCTGCGATTTGTTTTGATTAGGATTGTTAGCTGGTAGCCCACTCCAGGCAGGTGGTTAGTCCAGAATGTATACATCCTCTTTTTGCACATTCCTCCCTCTAATCAACTCTAAAATCTCCAATTCAAATACATAAAGTTTATAATCTAAAGCCTCAGTATGAAAATTTAAATTAGACCAAATATTTAGTTAAATTTGTATATAATTTTAAAATTAATTAGTCTTCATTTAAATCAAGAGTGTTCTCTTAGGAGATGTAATTAACTATAGGGGCTTGCCCCTATAGGGAGTCTAGATCACAGAATAATATAAACCCTGCCATAGTTTCCTTTCTAAGGTAGGGGAAAGATCTGTGAAACGTAGATCGTGCTTTATCTATATTTTAAATTTTATTTCCAAAATCAAAGGATAGGTAGATAATTGATTTGCTTTCACAGGCAGGTCAAATATCTTCTATATTTAATTATGAAAATAAAATCATAATTCATTATTCTAGTCGAGTCGATAGGATAATATACTTATCTTCATTTGGGATGATTTCTATATTCCCTATGCTGTACCTGATTAGAAGAATGAATTATAGTCTTCTTTCTTTAAAATATATAGAAGGATATTAGTCTGTCCCTCAGGGCGATATAATGTTCGTCTATGTGGATTTAATTGAAATAAAATATTAAAATACAAATAAAACAAATCGTATGAAAAGCAAGAGCATTCTTTATAGAAAATTTTCTCACAGATTTTTTTTGGCGACTCCGCTGGGTACATACTTCTCTCTCCATCTTAAATGAAGACTAAATTCTTTTAAAAATTGTATATACATTTAATTAAATATCTGGGCTATTAAATTTTCATGTAAATTTCGATATGTTTAGTTTTCTACTGCATGTTTGATGATTTGTATAGTCTTGTAGTTTATAGTTTTCTACTCTGCTTCGGGTTCGAGTCAACCCGATCGACATGCTTCAGTTTGATTTTTTTGAGTTCCCGCACGCGACAGAAAACTTGGGCCGCGCGATAGCCGTGACAGTGGCAGTGGCAGGTCAGCAACGTATAGCGGCGGCGGTGCCGGCGAGGCAACGGGCGATTTAATGGCTTGATGCGACGCGCCGACGCTGTCACACGAGTAGTCACGCAACGCGAGCAATGCGACGCGAGAGACGCGTGCTGTGGGGCAGGCGGGGTCACGGGGCAAGCGGGGCAGCTAGGCAGGCGGGCAGATTCGGGTAGGACTGGTCAGAGCGGGCATGGCCATTTTTCGAGTCATTCCCAGGTTTCCGGGTCAACACAAACCTGATCCGGTTTTGCAAACGGGTCTATTTTCTGAACCCGAAACCGACTAGTTTCGGGTCAACCCAAACCCGAAATTTTCGGGTCGGGTCAAATATTGATTGGTCTAATTGCAGTAGATGTACCATGTAGCGACATTATCATTTAAAATTGAAAGCAACATGCTTCACTATTTATCAAGAGCTTCTAAGTGTTAAAAAATATTCCATTACTTCATATCCCAATCCATTAAGTTGCCAAAGCTAAAACAAGAATTAAAAATACTCGAAAAAGACAAAAGGTTTTGTTTGGGACGGCTTTCTTAATACTTTTTAAAATAGCTTTTTAAAACAAAAATTAATATTTTGTACTATAAAGTTGTTTTAAGAAGCAATAAAAAACCATCTCAAATGAAGCCTTCAGTTGAGATGATTTTCTTGCTGTTTTCTAAAAAACTTTTCAATATAAAATTTTAAGTTCAGAAATTATTTAACTAAAAAAATATTTTAAAAAATAGTAAAAAAAATCGTCCCCAAATGAAACCTAAGAGCAGTTAATGAAGTGTATTAAAGAGATAATAATAAAGATAATTGCCAACAAATGGATAGTTCCGTTGCATATAACATTCAAAAGGATATATGTGAGATGAGCCGAGCCGTCCGTCAAATCCTGACCGCCGAAATCGGCTCTAAGCTCTCCCGCGGTCCATTTTACCATTTTAACGTACTTCTTCGACTCCGTGGATGCGGTGACCGGTTCGCGTGACCCGGACAGTCATCCTCACTCAAGAAACGACTTACGAATAAGACCTATCTGGAACCCCAATAACTATGGGCGGTAGGTCATTTACTGGGTCCCATTTTCGGTGCGGCCTCATTCCTCGGCCGCAAGCGGTTTAGCCTTCTAGGGTTATCTCTATCCAAGTTCACGATCTAGCCGTACAGATGGACGTCTATACAAAATCAACGGCTAAGATGTTTCCGACTTTCTCCAAATATGGCCACCGTGCCAGATCGGAAGGCTTATAGAGTACTGAAACAAGAAGTCTCAAAGCTGGACTACTTCTTTCTCTTTCTTTTTTGCTCTTTTATCTTCTTTACTCCGCCCAAATCGCCACCATTTTTTACCTCTGGGACTGAGTTACAGACCGCAAAGAACAGAATGAGCAAGTGTTAATCTCTTTTCTTATAGGGTTTTGTTTCGATAATGAAGACGATGACGGAGAAGAGCATTGTCGACTCACCTCCCCGTTTACACACGGACGCTTCTCAACAGCCGAGTCTCAAAGGTTTCTTCTTGCATTCCGTTCTGTCTTGTTAAACTTTTCACAGTTGAAACCCGTTTTCGTACTTTTCGATACTGCGGTGTGCAGGGCATCGGTTTTAGAAGCGGTGGTGGCCACGCTGTTGTCTCGCGTTGGCGCCTCAATGTGTTTTTCTAGGGTTTGTTTCGTTGCGGTAAAATGCGTGTTTGTTTTGTTGCTTGTTTGGCATTCGGTTTTTTGCTTTGGAAATTGATGCGGTGTGGCGGCCTGAACTTGGTAGTTTGCCATCCGTTATTGCTTTTTGATGATTGGGTTTTGCAATGTCAGTTCTAGGTCTCGGTTTAATTTGTTTGTGTTTTCTTTTTAAACCTTTGATGGGCTCTTTGGCAGCAGGATTTAAGCAAGATTTAGCCTAAATATTGCCAAACAGCAAATAAGACTAGCTTATATCCTGCAGAATCTTAGGAGCTGTTCAGCAAAAGTAGGATTTAGTAAACCCTGGGTATGTTAAATCTGAAAAACCGTTTGGCAAAGTAGTTCTTAAATTCTGTTAAATCCAGCAAAAGTAGGATTTAACTTTAGTAGGATTTAGTAAACCCTGGGTATGTTAAATCTGAAAAACTGTTTGGCAAAGTATTTTTTAAATTCTGTTAAATCCTGTGAAACCGTTTTACAATGTAATCATGGATTTAAGCTGGTTGGCTCATTTAAAAATTAAATTAAATGTGATATGAATTTAATTGCGTGTTAAGTATGAGTTATTTAATAATTTTAATTTTAATTAAGGTCAATAAGTTATATTAATAAATAATTAATCCATTACTTATTTAGGTGTTAATTTAATAAGTATTTGATATCTAATTATATTAATAATTATCTAATTGATTAGTTGACTACTTTTTGAAATGACAAATTATTTAACTAATACTCTTACTAATGATTTAATTAATTTTAAAATATTATTTAATCAGTTTAATTAATAATTATTTCATTAATCAATTAAATAATATACTAGTAATTAATTATTTAAATATTATTTACGAGATAGAAAAGTCCCCCTTAAGGCCTCAAACTTAAGGGAAAATTCTATAAGATGGTGGTGAAACTTGCAATGTTTTATGGTGCATAATGTTGGCCATTAAAAGAGAAACATAATATTAAGTTAAGTATTGTAGAGATGAGGATACTCAGGTGGATGAGTGGCTTTGCTCTTAGAGATAGGATATGAAATGAGCATATACGTGAGAAGGTTGGAGTAGCTCCGGTGGAAGATAAGATCATAGAGATACGCCTTAGATGGTTTGGTCACATAAAATGGCGGCCTTCCGATGACCCGGTTAGAAGAGTAGAGGTTGATGACCCGGTTAGAAGAGTAGATGTATTATATTTGAATTATTTTTAGGTAGAGGTAGACCTAAAAGACTTGGTTAAAAATATTAGAAATGACATTTCTTTATTAGATTTAAATGAGAATTTTGCTTTTAACATGATACAATGGAGAAAAATGATTCTTGTAGCCGGCCCCACGTAGTGGGATAAAGGCTTGATGTTGTTGTATAATAATTATTTATATTTCAAATTATATTAATTAAACTTTTTTTTTTAATTTTTAATTAATAATTGTTAATTAATCTAGGATTTGCTTTACATCTTCTCCATTTCTTTGTTAATGTTGCTTTTTCTCATGACCATTTTTTCATACCTGCTTCGGCCTTGCGTGCTAAACATGAAGTTTGAATGCTTCGCGTGAAGTAGTGTGTTGAAAGAGTCGCTAAACAAGCTTCTTTACATCCTTCGATGACGTCAGATTGGAAGTCATGATAGGAGCTCGTTCGTTGAGAAGGTTACCATCTTTATCCCTTTCGTGCGCTTCTTTGGGCAAATCCCATAAATTTTTCGAACTACATAATTTATTAAATCCAGGATTTACGAAAGAGGGAAACATAGCATTTATTCTGCCGTGAGATTTATTAGGCCCTCAAATCCTGTTTGGTAGGATTTAGCAAAAATTATCTTGTTAAATCCTTTCGCAGAACAATCCCTTAATGTTAAAATTTTGCTATCTCAATTGTCTCATGCCATTGGGATGTTTCACATTCATCACATAAAAAAAAAAAACGTCTTTTTGTAGTTTTATCCAAATTGTTAGTTCACCAATTTTCCAACTACAATTCCATGTGGTCTTGTAAACTTTGGGAACTTAATAGGTTTGCATATGAGCTGAAACTGTCACATAGAAGGCTGGCTGAAATATTTGCACTCGTTATGAAGTCGTGATTTTTTTTTTTTATGGTTAAAATTTTTTTTTCCTCAGTTTGCATGGTTGTAGGATTTTTTTCGATACATATGGGATTTTTAAAATTTTTATCTAAGCTTTGTAGCATGTTACTAGCTTTTTTTTGAAAGAGTTATTTATATAAAAATATGTTTCTAATTCGTGGGCTTATAAAATGGTAAAGTAAAGTAATGTATATGAGCTTATTGCAATAGTTGAGGTTGCAGGTAAAGTGGTTCATTTTAATTTGGTAAAGCATAACCTATTGTCATTGTTGATTGTATTTTTGTATTTTTGATGCAAATGAGGACGACTAGGGGTATCATTTTGGGCTGGAGGGTCGATTTTAGGTCTAACTTGAAGTTATCCCAACTTGAAAATGGTTGATCCGAACATGACCTGTTAATCATACGGGCCAAAATGTTTGAACCAAACTTCTCTTGATTTGAGCTCGCCTAACTTCAACCTGACCTATTTATTATATAGATAGTGTAAATTTTTAGATCAACAAGGATTTCTTGACCTAAATGTGACCAGCTTATCATGAAAATTAATATTTTATGCCGAGCCTGATCCTTTTAACCCAAATTCAAATGATAATCATGCTAATTTTGAGCAAATTTTGGGTTTTTAGTTCAACCCGTACCCGAATTGAAACTTAATTGGGTCAATATTTTAGATTCGAACTCAACTTGAATAATATTTGTATCAACTTGAACTCGAATTTGGGTTGGGTGGGAACATTTTTATTGATACTCATAAGGAAGATGAAGTAGGGAAAACAAGAAATGCTAATGATTGATTTCTTTTTTGATGTTCGTAATAATTTGTAATAATACTCCATAAGGTCCTTTCCCATACATCATAATATCTAAGCTGGTTGGGTAGGATACTCACATGATAAATTGATTGGAAATGTAACTAATTATGCAATTAGTGTAAGTAAAATGATAAGCAATTCAAGGTTTAAAATAGCGTAATTGCGCCTCGAGGCGGTTTTCGTCCGTGAGGCGAGCTAATTATGCAATTAGTGTAAGTAAAATGATAAGCAATTACAGATAACTATAATGATAGATAAGAAAATATCAAGCAATAACTTCTAGGGCTAGGGATTTGGGCATGGACCTTTCATCCAGTCCCTCCTTCGAAAGAACTCTACTTGAGTTTTTGGCATCACAATGACCCCTTTATCTGGTGGATGATGTTTATAAATGCTGGAAATGTTAAAAATATGGTGGATATTTAGATCTACAGGCACAACAACATTGTTGTTGACTAGACATTTGATGGGGTCCTGGGGAATGGGCCCATTTTATGAGGTGGTAATTTTGATGGGTTTCTTGTTGAAAAGTGTTCCTTGTGAGAAGACCTTCTAAAATCTATGTAAATCAGCATGCTGCTTGTAGTTCGCATTGCTAGTAGCTGGTATTTGCTTAACATCCTGTAGTAAAGAATCAAATATTCGAACTACTTCATTTGCAACCTTGATTATTGTAGCATGTAAGATTTTTGCTTTTGATGAGTGTAGGCCCTCTGATCTCGAACAAATTATTTACATTATTGATAGGAGCGCTCTCCTCTCTTTTTTATTCTGATCTCTCCTTTCTTACTAAACCTTTTTTTCACTTATTTATATTTCTCGTTGTTAAGCTCATGTCATTTTTTGCTCTGGAAACTTAGCTTTCTCCACACTCTCTTTTGTTGCTCTGAAAACGTATGCTATTTGCAAAAAATCTTGAATTCTTAAATAAAGTAGATCTAGAATCTGAATTTTGTGATTGTGGTCTTGCAATAAATAATTCAAGATTTGTGTAGAAAATTAACCCAAATTAAATGTTTGCAATAACTGCAGAATAAGCTAAATTAAACTTGGTTAAGAAAATGAAGGTAGAAAATCTTCTCATAGGATCCAAGCTTGAAAGTTTTGGTTTACGAGTTAAACCCTTTTGCATTTGATGTCAACAATGTGTCTTATGGTTTGAGTTTGAGGATCTCCATGAATTTTTTATTCACGGCCATGTAAGGTCAATGCCAAATTATTTATGCAACTGCCAATATGTCAAAAAACATGATTTAGAAATTTGTTCCCAATCCGAGATGCAGCTACTACACCTTGTGGACAATAAAGCCTTGTAATAAAGAGGGGGTTGATATATGATTCAGATATGGGGTACATTCATTAAATCAAATGGTTGTCCAGAAGACAGCTGTCAGGAAATCTTTATCTTAGGCTGATAAAAAAGCGATGTTATTAACAGAAAAGGAATCTTCGGCTATTTCAAGGTGGAATGAAGGCATTCTGAATTCTGATAGTCATGCTTCTAGTCGGTAACTTGACTAGTTTGAGTGGTTTAATTGGTTAATAACAGCCTTTTAGTACTCTGAATTATATTGAGGTATGTACCTAGATGATGCAGACAACTAGATAGAAAAATCAAAAGGGAGAACATAAGGGCTAGTAAAACTTTTTTCGATTCAAAATTTAGAAAGTCAACACCAAACAAACCTCCAAACAAACGAAAGTTAAACAAAACAAAAACTAAATTAAAGATAAAACAAGCTACCCTCAGAACAACCGATTAACAATCACCTCACATGCAACAAAATAGTAGGTAAAATAAAAGAAGTGCTTAAGGACATGCAAACCAAGGGTCCACTACTGCTACTATGGGTCAACGTCCACCACAAAACTCCTCCGGCAAATGCTACCAAACCGGCCAACCAACACCTCCAATAGCTTGAGAAGAAAGATACAAGTGGAGTGAAAACTTGTGGAGAGAAGAAGTAGGTAAGAAGCCCAAGATAAAATTGAAGAGATGAGAAGAGAAATGGAACAAGCTCGCAAGCTTTCCTAATAAGAAACCCTCAGGTTTTTCGAGAACTTTGCTCACCAAACAACAACCTCTAAATGTTTCAAAACAACCCAAATATATAGGTGAAAAGAGGGAGCCAAACAGCCCCAATCACCTCCAGCCGAACCAACAAAAAAGAGGGAGACAAAAGACCAACAGATAGTGCCTGGAGCAGCACCCGAAGGGACCACAAGGGGGACAAGAACGGACAGCCATGGGAACAGGAACAACTAGCCACGGGACAGAAGCCAGGCGGAGAAACCAAAAGGCCAAACAGGGGGGGGGGACTAGGACACCCATTAATGAGCTGAAAAGGTACCTGAACTACATAGTAATGAGCTTATTTTAGAAGAAGAACACAACATCTCACCAAAGGGGCAGCTAAACTTGAGACAACCAAGCCCAAATCGAGAAACCCAAATTAGCCTAAGAGCCAAGGCACCCAAGAAGCTAGCACACCCAAGGTAAAACATGTCCAAAGCACAACCTACTCATGATCATAGGTTGCCCTCCATCATTGGGTAGCATAAATAAAAAAACACAAAATAAATATTGATGGGGACATCAGAGCATGGAAAGTTTATCAAAGGCGTGGCCGTCGATCTACGACCACGATCGAGTCTCTGTATTTTTGAGTCATTTCATGTATTTGTTTTTCTTATGTTATGTAGCTTTTATTATTTATGTGTTTCATGCTTTCCAGTTGTACCCTTTTATTAAGGGAGGTCGTATGTAAGCCCTATGGTGCATTGTTATCCTTTTATTTGGTGTGTCTTTGTTCGAGGCTATTTATAGCCCTATTGTTCATCTTTTCAAGCTAATAAATGATTGATTACAAATTTTTCTTCTCTTTGTTTGAGTTCTCTTGAGAGCTTGAGAGATTGGAGTGAGATCCCTAGGGGAGAGAGAATTGCGCATCACCCATCAACCTTGACAAGTCTGGTTTGTGGTTTTATTATCTTTCTTTTGCCTTCATCCTCCCACCACCACCACCGGCCTTCTTCATCCCAACCGGCCACACTTACGCCAAAACCTCAACCTTTACCAAGCCCCCTTTCCCTTGCCCGCCAAGCCCCACCTGCACCCCCACCTAACTGCTGACCCCCATACCCGAGCCCAAACAAGCCACCAGCCCTGAAACCCCTCTCCCCTTTGATTTCCATTGCCTATTTTAGATTGAAATAATTTGGGCAGATTTTGATCAATTTGAAATTTGAAATCTTTTCTAAATTACTAAATCTATTTTAGGAAAGTTTCCTAAATTGAACGCAATTTGAATTTCAAACTAATTGGAATTCTTTAAACACTTTCCTAATCACCAAATCCCAAAATAGCAATTCCAAATCTCCCCCATTAATCCTCCCTAGCCTTGGATGCCGCCGGCCCCCTCATTAAATCCTTTTGGATTTATTTCCTAATCCCTCCACCCTCTCTTGAAATAATTCCAAATACCCACTATCTCTCTTGGCCGAAATCCCCATACTCCTCATTGATTTAATTTCTTTCCAAAAGGGAGGATCTCCTTATGGAACTAAATTATTCCCCCCCGCCCCCCTCTTGCCTTTTTTTTTTTCCTTTAATTATTCTTAATTAAGAGAATACTTAGGAAGTATTTAATTAAAATTCCATCCATCTCTTTCACAAAATCTGAACCAAAATCCTTCACCTTGCTCTCACCCTTGGCCGACCACCTATTCTCCCTCACACCTCTTGATTTCTCTAGATTATCTCCTCCATCTCAAGAGGAATCTTCAAGGGAAGCCTCAACGATCGTCGTCAACATCTCAACCTCAAAGGACATGCATGGCCGATCTGGATCTTGATTACGGTATCTCCTACGACGAATAAGGATTTGTTTCCATTCTTCACTCTACCTTTTTCGATGTCAACCCGTGCATCGACAACACCGTAGAAGAGTACGTAGATCGCATCCTGGACACTCTGGTCGATGCTATTGAAGAACAACTTGGCACCGTTCATTGGAGGATCGCGACTCAACCGTGATAAGGGTTTGCCAATTTTCCTTTTCGTGTATTTTCCTTGTCTAACTTGCTCTTGTGATTTGATAGATTCATGAAGATCTTGCTCACCAAACTCCGTCGAGCTTAGTAAACGTAGGGATTGTGTGCACTTCATTTGTTTTTAATCTTATTGTTAGATTAGAGATTTTTCGTTGAAAGCTATTATATTTGCATGTCGTTGATTTTCTTTGTTATTTTGATAATTCAAAGCTCTTATTGTGCAACTTAGCCTAAACGGAAGTGACCGCTCTTACGTTTTATTTTGTCGTTTTTGTTTGCTAATAGTTCTAATGATTACTATTCTAATCAATAAGTCGTGCAAGTTCTTATGAAATTACTTTAAGCATTGTAGTCAGACATCAAATATAACAATCAAATTACAATAAAACTAAACAAATTGAAATTTGCATGTATCAGTAGATCTGCTATGTTTGTTGAAATTTTAAACTATCTGAGAGAATACACTCCATTATGTAAATACACTAAACAATTTTATTAGATGTTTGAGTAGTTTTTATGTGCTCTCATAGGAAAGTAGACCATGCTAACATTCTTTCACTTCTATACATCCCAATATGCTGAATTGACTTTGAGAAGCTCAATGAGAAAGGACACTTTCCTTTGAAGAGTTCGACCAAAGAGGGTACACACATCGAGGGTGCTTACTTAGGGAGATGCTTCTCTCCAAAGTGCTCGACTAGTACAAGGCAAGTGCTCGCCTAAGTGAAACTTTCCCCCCAGGCAGGTTTGACTGAGGGAGGAATTCACCTCAGCAGACCTTGAGGACACAAGGAGGAACTAACCCACCCTAAAGAAAGACTCATCTTTTAGTCGAGGCAATTCATCTTTCTCAAAGGGCCCCTTATCCAAAGTATATGTATGTGCACATACCAATTCTTTCAAAATGGCATCTTCAGTCACACTAGCCTCGAGCTTAACTCAGAGGCAGTTATGGAAGGCAGTCGTCAAAGATACTCATCGGACACCCTCTTGAAGGGACTTGTTGAAGGCGCTTATCAGAAGCACTCGCCAATGGTACTTGCCGAAAGCACTTGCCAATGGCACTCTCCAAAGTCACCAAGCAGGACTGTTCTATAACTACATCAGTTAGTATGAGTGTATGACACTTGTATTTATTCTAGTTAGTCCACGTGCCTGTAACAATCAAATATTGCATTTTTTTATTGCTTTTTTAGGTTTAGCCTCTTTTATTGCCTTATCAACCATATAAATAAAATGTTGTGAGGTATTTTTTCAACCTTTTTTTCATCAAATCTTAATGAGTGTAGATATATTTCAGAGCTGCTCTTGATACCCGCCTGCCTCTCTTTCTTTATTTGTCGCTTTAGCTAGTTGTGACATTAAGGTTAAGGTGTCTTTCACAGGCAAATTTTGATCCAACAACTTTGCTTCCTAATGTGTGACTAATGAATTATTCTATTACTTAAATTATAATAATCTGATTGTTACACATTAGATTTCCTTTGGTCATCAATCATTTGTGATATAGTGCGGTTTATTTATTATATAAAATTGGTCACCAGTTATATCAAGGATGGTTGACATATCCTTTTGAAAGACTCAGTTCACTCATCCGCAATTACTTCACCTTGATGATTTTTTATTTCAGTTGGTCACTTGACAATTTATCTTGTAGCAGAATAATTTTATGTTCAGATTCTGTGGTAAGCATGGGAATCTAAATGAGAAATCTATGTGAAAAGTTGTTGAATTATAACTTTCTTCTTAGTTCAATGATCATGTACTTTCTTTTCTATATTATGGTTTTAAGTTTTAACATTATTTCTCTCATGACGATATCTAAATGCAATTTTATTTCTTGTTAACACTACTGAGTTTGTCCTTATCAACATGCAACATCTCTCATGTGTCTCTTGTCTCTATATTGCAGATATGCATGGATCTGACAATTCTATTGCTTTTTCACCTCAGTGGCTTCAGTCGAAGGTAGGGGATAATAAGATGGGAATAGTAAATTCTCCATATGTATTTCTATTGTGTTTTTTTTTTTAATTTTTTTTATTTTTTTTTAACAGAACAAATTGTGTGGCATACTAATGAGACAACTAAGGACTATATATTAGGTGCGAGAAAAGGACCAAAATGGTCATTTGACTCTTTATAAAGGATCAAAATGGTTCCCAATTATATTAAAGGACTATTTTGGTCCCTCAACTCCTTAAAGAGGAATTAAATAGTCCCATCATGGGACTCTTTGGATTCCTTTTGAAGGAGTTGAGGGACCAAAATGGTCCTTTAATGTAGATGGGGATCATTTTGATCCTTCATAAAGAGTCAAGAGACTATTTTGGTCCCTTTTCTCTATTAGGTGTAGTTATTTCATCATGTTTTTTACAATTGCTTTTAGTGTCACACATTTTTATTTCTTACATTAATATTTTATAGGTATATTTATGGTGGCTACTGCATGAAACATAATATTAAATAGAATTCCTTTTTCTTAAATAATTTGTAGGAATATCATACAAGTCCGTTTCATGGAGAACGGATAACTTCCGTAAGAGGGCCAGGAAATGTTGAAGATTCCCATGAGGTCAGAAAGAGAAAAGATGTTTACAAGCATGTTTTACATGATTCAGAAATTGGATGCCGGGATCGTTGGCGTGATGAAGAAAGGGAAACAAATTCAACTGTTCACCGAGACCATAGGGGAGAACGTTGGCTTGACAATTCCATGCGACACTCGGGAGAACGTCGCAACCACTCTGAGCGTTGGAGTGAATCAGGAAATAGGGAAAGTAGTTTTGATCAACGACGTGAGAGCAAATGGAGCACAAGTTGGGGTCGTGATGATAAGGAATCAGAGTCTAGCAAAGATGGCCAGGGACCACAGGAAAGATTAATGTCTCGTCTTACCAGCCATGGAAGAGATACAGATAAAGATGGTGAAATTTACCCTCGTTCATGGAGATCAAACTCTTCCATGGCTCGAGTAAAGACAGAACCATCTTATCAGCAATCTATCCCACACAAGCAAATCCATATGTTTGGTTATGGCCGTGGGAAAGGGGAGAATGTGTCACAACTTTCACCTTCTGGTCGTGGCAGTTTTAACTCCAACAATGCTAGTACTGTTATTCATCACCCTCATCATTTGGGGACTTTCTCAGCTAAGTCTGGTTTGCAAACAGGATCATCTCTTCTAAGATATAGTCGGATGAAGCTACTTGACATATACAGGATGACTGATATAAGAAGCCACAGGGTATCTATTGATGGAATTATGGATGCTCCTTCTCTGACACGATCTGAGCTGCTGGAACCTCTGGCACTTGCGGCTCCTTCTATTGAAGAATTGGTAAGTAATTCTTTGTTTTTTTCTGCAAGCATGTAATTTTTATAACAACCAATTTTGCTTCATTATAGTATTATTTTTGCATAGGTAATCTTGAAAGCCATAGAAAAAGGAGAGGTTGCAAGTAGTGGTGTACCTCAGGTCTCTAAAGAAGGCAGTGGCGGAAGAAATGATGTTGAATCGGTTATGTCAAAGCAGATGAAACTAGGTGCATTTGTGTTTCTTGTAAATGTTTTTAATCTTTCATAGGTTTCATTCGTGCCACGTTATGTGTATGAACAGGCACTGATGAAGATTTGCAATGTATTGGAGGTGAATACAAACTAGAGGGCAGTGAAAGAAATCCAGATATTGAGCCAGGTTGTATTTTCTTTTCCTATCAAGTGATTAATGTTATAATTTTTGTAGTTATGGGATTATAAATATGGAGAGTACATTTTTTGAAAATTTCCTTTTAGTTATGGGATATTTATAGTATGTTTTTCTTGGTGTTCCTTTGATCTCCTTCGGTATGGAGAATGTTTGCTGGATTAGTTTTACATCTCTCAATCATATTTTGATCAAAGTTCATCACTAATTTTTAACTTGATTTTAAAATATCTACGTTTTGTAATGTCTTTTAAGATGATATTCAAATCAGGAAATTACATTTGTTAGCTAGAATTTTGTAGATATAGCAGTAATTTATCCAACATGTGGTTTTGTTCAATTTGATTCCGTGTGTGGTTCACTGTCAGGAGTTCAATGCTGCTATTTTTGCTGACTAAATGACCATCTCCTTTGCATCTATCAGACCAAATTAAGCTATCTGCTCTAACCTTTTGCTGTAATAGATAAACTTTTTCTACATTTTTTCCCCAACATTTCGTAATTATTTTCTCTGCAGTTAAAAAAATGTTTGAGATTCCTTCAAAAAAGGCTGAAATTTGAGCATTCCTGAGAATCAATTTTTATGTTGTGCAGCTCGATGGAGATCTCAATCTGAAGCTATCTCAAGCTGGCCGTCCACTGATTTGAAAGATAATCCTGCTGCACTTGGAGCAAAGTCATCTGAGTTCGACTGGTCTCATTTATCAGACGATGTAGATAATGAGACAACTACTGCTTCTGTTTCCTCTTCTTTTTGTAAAGATGATTGGCAAAACAATCAACGTGGTCATGTACAGAAAAGAAGAAATCCCAAAAATAGAAGTTATGCATCAGAATTTTCTGACAGTGAACGGACTGCTAGCCCTTATTTTGCTCGGGAGGATTCTCTTCTTGCCAGGGATAAGCCTGCTGGTAGACATTTTGAACCGCTTCCATCTCCAGAAGAGCTTTCCCTTTATTACAGAGATCCACACGGTCGGGTCCAGGGTCCTTTTTCTGGAAGTGATCTAATTGGATGGTTTGAGGCTGGGTATTTTGGTATTGACTTGGAAGTTCGCCCTGCAAGTGCTCCCTCAGAGGCTCCTTTCTTGTTACTTGGGGATGTTATACCACAGTTGCGACAGAAGGTTAGGCCGCCACCTGGATTTCGTTTGGCTAAACAGAACGGAATTCTGGAGATGCCCAACATGGATAAGACTGGAAGCACTGTGCTTAGCACCCATTCTTGTTTATTTGGGTCTGAACCTTCTAAGAACGTGCAAAGGAGTGGCATTTATGTTTCTACTGAAGCAAATAATCCATCTGTGGAGAGTCTTAGTGAAGGTTGGTTAAGATAGATAAATAATGTTTAATTTCAGGGGGCTATATGTTTGGATTTTCTTTTTCGGAATGACATTTTTCTTCTGTTATTCTTCTATATATACTCTCTTTGTTGATTCTCTTAATATATGCAAATCAAGTTGTGCAATTTGTTATGCCCCTTATTTTGTTATTTCTTAATTCTTCATAGGAATGCATGGCCGTGGTGTGCATGGTCCTGGGTATTCACCTGCAATTATGGGAGAAAGTGGGAATGGTGTGAACTATCTACTTGCCCAGACGAGCTTATTAGAGCAGCAGCAGAATGCCCTACCTTGTTCTCTTTCTCTTTTATCTGGGAGAGACTCCTCCCCAATGGCTTCGACTGGATTTATCTCAAATTCACCTGAATCATATTCAAAATTTATTTCTCACATAGGTGACCCTTCGTTTCAAGCTTCCCAAGTCTCCCAAGCCTCACGACAATTGGACTTGCTATCTCTACTTCAGGCAGGACATGCAGATAAACCTTCTTCACTTAGTTCTGGGGCATCTGCCTGGTCCGATCTTCATGATGCCCGAGCTCTGAACAACAATGGTCATGTTGGTTTAGAAACTCTGCAAAATAAGTTGGATGTTCATCAAAATCAGCATCTTGGTTCACAAGTCGGGTTTGTAGTGCAGCAGCAGCTGCAACCTCCGAATTTGCCATCATTGCCTCATTTAGTTAACCAACCTGCAAATCTTTCAGGCATATTATCTCCTCAACAGTTGCGTTCTACAGATATAACACAAGATACTCAAATGCTAAATGTGCTTGCACAGCATTACCTAATGTCCCAGGCTCCTATGCATTCTCAGGTTTCTATGTCATCACAACTCTCTTTGTTTAATGAATGCTTGCTGCTCAAACAGCAGCTGCAGCAACAGCAACAGCAACTACTGCTGCAGCAACAGCATCTTTTGTTTTCTCAAGTCCTTTCTGGTCATCAGTCTAGTCCGCATCTTGGTGAGCCTTCTCAGAAATTGTATTCGACTGTTCCAATGGGAGATGTTCCATCTGATCATTCTCTGCTACGACAAGGCTCAGAGGCCCACATTAATCAGAAGATACTGGCAGATAATATTCATGATGGACATAATTCTACTATTCAAACAATAAATTCTCAGGATAGAGATAACATAAATAATTCATCCTTTTCTGGACCTACCTTATTGCAGTTACCACATCAACTATTTGAAATTGCTTTACCTTCAATAAAACATGAAAGTACTCAAGATGTTGGTGATAATGGCGCGGCAGAAGTTTCCCTTGCATCAGGACTAGTTTTGACTTCACCAATCTCTGATGCATTGGAGAAGCCTGTTGAAGCTTTTAATTCCTTAGATGACGCCCTTAATCTAAATTGCCATGCAAAGGAACCCAAGTTATCAATGCCTCAGTGTAGTGAATTTATTCCTTCAGAATGTTCAGTATTGTCACAGGAAGCTTCATGTACTTCTGGGTCTGTATCCATTCATGATGTAAAACTTTCCTCAGGTGATGTTGTTCTTGAACAAACTCATTCTGATGTTTCTGCAGCAAAAGATTTAAAAAATCTGGAAACATGTCAGACAAAGAAAAGTGCAGAAAAGAAAGCACGAAAAAAGAAAAATTCCAAGTCACAATTGGCTTTGGACCTTCTAAAGGGATTATCCAATGTAAATCAGTTGGAGCAGCCTAAATCAATGTTTGATAAAGAGAATTCAAAGTCCCGTGATACATCACAGGCTCAGACAGACTTATTGAAGCAGCTTTATGATTTGGCATCTGCTGCTGTTGAGGACAGTTCTAATGGATCTCCTTTCAAACATGTGGATTATTTGAAATCTCATCTTCCAGCTTCGGTTACTGATAAAGAAGTTGAAAGCTCAAATAAGAAAGCTGAGTGTGTAGAAGAAGTTGAAAGCTCAAATAAGAAAGCTGAGTGCGTAGATGGTGGCATCTCTGAGTTGTCATGCCTTCGAGCCTGGAAATCTGCTCCTGGGATTAAGGTAAAATCACTAAAAGAAATCCAACAAGAGGAACAACAAAGGGTTCAAATGGAAAAAATGGCATCTGAGACAGAGATTATCCCTTCTAGCTGTCAAGTATCAGTACCCTGGGCTGGAATTGTTGGTAGTTTTGATCATAATTCTGGTGGAGCTATTGTACACGTTGATAGCAATGCAGAGTACATAAGATCTAACAGTAATTTGAGTTCAAAAAGCAGGAAAAGCCATCTTCATGATTTGTTGGCAGAAGAAGTCCTGGCTCAGTCAAGCGAGGGTGATGCTATTCTTTCCAGAGACAACAAAGGGCAGCTTTTACCGCCCGTTCTATCAGTTCCTACCTTACTTGATACAGCAGCTGTTAATGATGGAAATCTTTCCAGAGATGACAAAGGGCAACTTTTGCCGGCTGTTGTATCGGCCGCTACCTTAGTTGATGCAGCAGCTGTTAATGATGAAGATTTTATTGAGGCCAAAGACTCCAAAAAGGGTCGAAAAAAGGGGTCCAAGGCAAAAGTTTCTGGAGCTAAGTGCCCTTCATCAGTTACTTCGGTTGATATTTCCTCTTCTTCCATAGCTGCTGAAAGGCAGAAAAGTCAGAATCAGGCACAGAAGGACAAGGAAGTGTTACCAGCTCCACTGACTGCTTCCCTAGCAGATTTTGTTTCCTGGAAGGGAGAACCAGCAAACTTCTCACAAGCACCAGCTTGGTCCATGGATATGGGCAAACTGCACAAACCTACTTCTCTGAGAGATATTCAGAAAGAGCAGGGAAATAAATTATCTGCGCAGCAGAATGTTCCTATACCCACTCCAACAAAAATGCAATCTAATAGGGGAAACAGTGGTTCTAGTTCTTGGCAGGTTCCTGGATCATCTCCCTCTATTGGTATCTCTCCCATGCGGAGCACCACATTTGCATCCAGGCAATTGAAACCTAAATTAGAAGATGATCTATTTTGGGATCCTGTTGATCAGTCACAGCAACAAATAGAACAGTATGTTTTTAGCATTAACTTCATGCACCCATCTTTTCATCTACATGTGATTGTATTGCCTAGTTTAGATGCATCATATTTTGCAGCATGAGCTTGAGCCCAGAACTGATGATAATTTGCTGCATGTTTTTTTGTGAATGCTTTAGCTTATTGCATTTTACATTACATTATGATAGGAAAAGCTTGTAGGAACCTTACTAAATTTGAATTTCAGCACTTGCAAAAATAGATTGGAAAAAAATTTGAAAGAAATAACCAGAAATAAACTTTTTAATTGATAAAATATGAAAGAAAACGAACAAGATATAATGGATCCTCAATTGGAGAGGAGGATCCATCTCTCCCGTTATCTAGCCAATGACTAGAGCATTAGGAACTCTCCAAAATTCAGAAAATATCAAGATAATCCTAACCCTAGACAATCCCATCTTTTTAAAGCATACAAATACAACTTTGATTTACCATATAGCCCCTCCCTAAATCAGAACCTGCCTAATCCGCTCTCTCCTCTTCAAGTAATGGGCCGGCCTCACGTCTAGCTTGGATGCTCAGAGTAAGCCAACCTTAGGGCTGGTTCAGCTGACCCTCCTTGGTCCGGTCCCGCCGGTCTAACAATAACCCCCTCCCCCTCCCAAAGACCCATCTTATCCACAATGTGGAAAGACGACTCCTTTCTCTTCATTATAAACAAACGTTGAGAACCTAAAAAGTTCAGTCCTTACATCTGTGCCTCGGTGTATACATCTCCTCATAGTTGAAACATAGCCCATTCGCCCTCTTCTCTTGTAACCTTGTTTCTGTGAGCTTCTTGAAGTTGTCCCCGGGTCTTCCATCTACATTCTTCTTTTTTGGGGTCTTCCGAAGAGTACCCGATTTCGGCTCCTTGGGTGCCAAAAAAGTGGTGATCATCCCGTACGAGCCTCCTGAGCTGCTTCCTCCCGTCCCTCTCTCCAGATGCCTCTGACCCTCCACAAACTGAGTTAGCTCGATAGACTCTCCTAAATCATGAGATCTCATCACTCTAATTGCCTCTTGTATCTCTAGCTTGAGCCCTTTCATAAAATTTCCCTCCAGTATAGTCTTCGGAAGCCGATCTAGTCTTCTAGCTAGGCACTCAAACTACTCACAGTATTCCACCATTGTCCACTCCTACGTCAGGGCGAAGAACTGCATATAGAAGTCGCCTTCTCAATTGGTTTAGAAATGTTCCAACAAGCAGTCCTTAAACTTCCTCCAGGTCCGTATGGGTCGCCTCATATCCCTCCGCCGGTATCAGGCCAACGCTTTCCCCTCCAAGCACATCTCAGCTGACGTCAGTCTCTCCTCCGCCGTCAATCTATTGACTGTAAAGTACATTTCTATCCTGTAGATCCACCTATATGCATCATCTCTCTCAAAAATAGGCATCTTTAGTTTTCTTACCCTAAGACCTCCTACATCACCCCTGCCTCCTCCAAAGTTTCCCATTCCCCAAAGGGGTGGTTCCCCTCAATTGTGCCAATCATCTCTTCTTTGTCACAAGCTCACCTTCTCCCTTCAAATTCAGCACCACTTTGTTCATATTCAGTCACTCTCCTTTCAAATTCAATACCCCTCAACTCATGCCCAACCCCTTCACGCCTCTCCACATAAACTTTACCCCGACTCCTCCCTATGAATAGGCCCTAGGGGAGGCATTTTGTTTGCTCCCTCCAAAATCTCCACCTCCTAATCTTCTCTTTGTCTGATGGCTTAGAGTTCTCCCCACTTCCATGGTTGTCGACGGCTTCCACCCCCCTCCGACGACGATGTTTTGGTTTGGCCATCGAGCAATTTCTTCAACATCTCCTCAAGGATGAAAATTTTCAAGTCGTTCTTCTCATGGACGACTGAAAGTTAACTTTTTAAATTTGGAACTTAAGTTTAGAGATATGAAATTTTAGATTTTACTTGTCTGATTTTCCCTTCCAATACTTCCACCTTTCTTCCCGTCATAGGTCCCCGGATCTTTGTTAGACTTAAAAATTCAGGTTTCCGCTGCAAAAATAATAAAGACAACGATTCGAAGGAGAAAAAATGCTATAGGAATTAGCAGCACCAAAATAGCCCCGGACACCTCTATGACACCAATTTGATAGGAAACACTTGTAGAAGCCAGAGTTTTCCTTGCTGAATTTGAATTTCAACACTTAATAAAAATAGATTGGAGAAGAATTTGAAAGAAATAATAAAAATCCGTATGGGTCGCCTCTTCAAGTAATGGGCCCCACAAGGGGACCAGCGGCTAGCTTGGCCACCTAGAGTAAACCAGCCCTAGGGCTAGTTCAGTCGACCCTCCTTGGGCCGGTCCTGCCGATCTAACACATTACAACTAATTTTATTGTACGGATTTTCTATATGATCTGAACTCTGTCGATCAACGAGTATAAGCAAATTTCAGTCTATTTTTTAGCATTAATCTAGAATGATTTTAACCTTTTTAAATGTAATCTAAATTCTTAACAAATTATTCAACTTAACTAGTTAGATATTAATATTTTAGAACTTTAGTTTACTATTATGTTTACTAAGCACTTGTCAAATGAAGCAATAGTAGCTTAAAGGCTGTATGCTTAAACTTCCACTTTGATGGAATCTATTTACCTTAGATAGAGAATGTTTTTGAAACATCCTTGGTGTAAGATGCTTCAATTATTTTGTGTAGTCAGTTGATGTAGGGAAATGATCAATGCAATGAATAACCTGTTATGTTGTCTTCTATTGCTCTAAAAGAGTGCTTGCTTTGTTTTCTTTTTCTTTTTCTTGTGTTGAGGAACATATTGTTTGCTCTTAAGTTAATAAGCGATCGCATGAGTTCATTTTGCAAGAATTGTGTAGAGATAAGTAAAAGATTTTATTGGTTTAATTATCGAGTAATTCTAGAGTACAAACTTTGTTTAAATTGAAAAAAGGCAGAGGTGATCCGCTATTTTCTTATAGAAAACGAATAAACACTTTCTTAATCACGAACGACTAGAAAGGACATAAAAAATACTATATGATATGCATATTTGAATTTGGATTTTTTAAATGTATTGATATATAAAGAAGGAACAATATCTTGGATTAGCGTGGTGGATGAATCTACATAGAAGGAATGAACAACGATGTGGATTGGTGAGCTGGTGCAAAAATAAAAGCTCTCTAGGCTGGTGAGTCTGTGGATTCTAGCAATTATTAATATCCCCGCAAGTTGCGTAATAGTTATCAATATCCCCTCAAGTTGCATAGTAGTTGTCAACCATGCTCAACTTGAAATTTAAACTCTCGAAGCCACTGCGATTAATATCCTTGGTAAGAAAATCAATTGTTTGAAGGTTTTGAAGAGTCAAAATGTTGGATAGTATCGTATCAATTTTTTTCTTGACTAAATGTTGATCTATCTCTGCATGCATGGTTCGATCATGAGGCATTAGGTTCTTTGCAATGTTGTTTGTAGCTTTATTATTACACAATTATTTCATCAGATTAATGAATGGTTTATTTAATTATTGTTGCACTCTCTCTTATCATAGACTTTATAGTTTCCTGTTGACAAAGCTTTGAATTCTTCTTAGACATTTTTTCGTGCCTAAATTTATTTTTTTGCTTCTCTATGCGACTAAATTTACCTATACATATATGCAGTACTGCAATATCTAGTTCTTGTTCTCCTATCAGTGATAGAACTTGCCCAATTTGCATCGTTGAACACTTCCACACCCTTATTGAGAGTTATCCTAAAATATTAGTCATTTTCAAGCATTTTGTTTTCAGGTGTTGAATAATTCACAAAGTAGACCCACATGTGCATTTTTACTAAATTATTAATGATATGTTGGCCACGTTAATTGAGTAGAAAATATCTGGTTTGGTGTGCCAGGTTACCCATCTTAACATTTGGATCCATAAATGTATCCATTGGTTTACGTCTTCTCATCCCATATTCTTTTAAGGAGAACAAGATTAGATTTATATTGAGATTGATAGATTTCTTCCCTTGGTCAAGCAATTTCCATGCCAAGGAAAAACTGAAGCTATATCAAATATTTAATCTTAAAGTTGTTTGCCTGAATATTATTTAGGTCCTAACATTATAACACACATTCATTGATGTTTCTCAAGTGCTTGCTGATTTTTTTTGAAATTTGAACCTCCATTATTGATATATTAAGTGCATGATAGGCAGTGATTAACTTGTCATATGACAAAAAGTTACTGATAAGGTGCTTAGCACAAAGATTAATATTTTTTTTTTTTTATTGTAATAGGTTCATCCAGATCACATAAATGTAGTTCAATAGTTTTGTTACTAATGTGGAGTTTGTATGTCTTTAGATTTAGTTCAAAATCATGGTTCTATGCAAGAATTGCTTGGATCTCCATATCTTTGATTTTTGGCCTCTTAGAGTTTATAATTTTTTTCTTGTTGGTGGTATTATGTATGTAATCCAATTGATGGTGTTGCTAAGTTTTGGTTTTGGGTGAGTTTTGGAGAATAGTGGTGCTTCGAGTTAAGTCTATTTAGACTTTTAGGAACGGCAGGAATGGGTTATTGGCATTCTCTTTCTCTCAATGGTGATATTCCTAAGAATTATCCCATGAATGTTAGCTTTTGGTATAAAAGGGTTGATTTTCGAAGGTGGTGACATCCAACGCGTAGAATTTTCTTGTTCGCTAGGCATTGGACCATATTGTCGAATAGTTTGTGAGTGTTTATTCAGTAGTTGGCTAGACATTCTAGATTGGTATTTTTTACTATAAACTCTGCAGTGGACCCACAAGACACAATGTTTGATAGAGTATTTTTCATACATAACTACATAAAAGTGTACCCCGTGCCCCAAGCTTGTAGTTGCTAGGGTGATGTCCTTGATCTTAGAATTCACAACTTGAGGAGTTTCACCATTTACCTATTCTGTCGGCCTCAATGGCTGGCTTATCATGCGACTGCTTGTCAGTATTGAGTATCATATCATGAAGTTTGTTCAAGGTCAGAGTGCAATTCACTGCAGTTTCTTGAGGATGACATTCGATACTCTCAGTATATTTATTTGTTTTCGTTGGAGATTTCTAATGGCACACCAACCTTTGCCTTTTTAGCGAAGTTTGTTCAAAGAATGAGCATCCCACACTTTTTCAACTATACCTATTTTCTCTTGCTGTTAAACTAAATTCAAACTAGCCACATTCGATGTCTTCTTATCAGCACTAGACCTTCCTCTCATATATATCTTTTCTCACTAGAAGAAACCTAGAGAGTAGAAGGAAGAGTACCCAAAGTTTGAGTTATGGGCAAAAGTTTTTGGATTTCCTTGAGAAGTGTATTTTTATCAATCGAAGGTAAAACGTTCAAAAAGTAAAGTTAGGTGTGTATGATTAAATAATATAAGGTCTAATCTCTCTTCTTTCATTTTGGATGACAGCTCCAAGCCCTGCTAGTTGAGAGTACAACAATGCTCCTTTCATTCTTGCTTTCACCATAGACTTAATTTCTTTCTCCCATTGTTTTTAAGGTATATATAGATTACATTATCTCCATATCCTCCTAGAGTCCCTCATTTTTTGCTTGACATTGTAAAGTTGTCCTCAAGTTACTCGAGCCCATGGACTCATGACGTTTCAGCTAGAACTCGGTCGGTCGATGTAACATAGTTTTAGTGAAGTATTTGGTTGTATCCAGTACTTGTAGTGATACGATATGCCTAGTTAACACCAAGAGAACCTTGGGTTTTTCTTCATTCTAAGGCTTTGTTTGGGACGGCTTTCTTTCTGCTTTTTAAAGCAGTTTATTAGTACAATAATTAAATTTTTTATACTAGGAAGCTGCTTTAAGAAGCAATAAGAAAGCCGTCCCAAACAAAGCCTAAATGTAAGTCTCCTTGTCCATGTTCCCTTCCTTTCATGTCATAGTAGTCCGAGGGTTTTCCATTCCAACAGTTTCTGTAAAAAAGGTTTTCCCATGAAAGTTTTTCCCGAATTACTCTCCGTTATATCAATGTTATTCTTTTTGATAATATTTTTGGCTCCCACTTCAGTTCATTCCTTTCTTGTTTAGCGACAGGACGTGCTAGGGATCAATTTTTACCTTAAGCTTGACAGCACTATTTCAAGAATTTGATTCTGAAACATTAAAATGTTGCGCTAAGTTTACCTACTTTCTACTTTATAAATGTTATTAGTGCTATTTGTGCTCTGTAGGAAATTAATTGTTTGTACCATTGATTTATTGATGAAAAATTCTTGCTAGCAGGTCTGATTTCCCATCCCTTAGAAATTCTAACAATAGGGGTGTAAAAACTCCTGCAAGAACTGATCCAATAGCAATTACTCGGCAAAAGTCATCCAACAGCAAGCCTGCAGGGTATAGTCCTGCTTCCTCTGCATCTGGTTTGTCAGCTTCTAGGGGCAAGAAGGATGATGGACCTAGCAATCTTTCAGGTATCTTTCCGCTATCATTTCCAATGGTCTTACTCTACAAATGACTCCATTTAACCTCTGAGTTTTTTTTTTCCCTTCCAGAGGCTATGGGCTTCAGAGATTGGTGTGACACAGAACTGATCAGGCTCACTGGGACAAATGGTATTCCTTCTTTCAAGAATTTAACAACTTCCTCCAGTTTCTCAATAATTTTCTATTCTTCACAGCCTTCAGTAGCTTGTGAAGATAGGATGCGACTGTTTCTCTCTTCTCCTACGAGACTTCTAATCAATCACAGCCGTCGGGAAGAGAGAAAGTCTCATCCCATCTTCACAAGTATAAATATGTTATACATTAATATTCACATTTCATTAAATTTGTAGAATTAAAGCTTCCTTAGCTTTAATGGTGTCATTCTTTGCCTCTGATCCGCAGATACCAGCTTCCTGGAATACTGCTTGAATCAATCCACCACTGAAGCTGAAGTGCTTCTTAAAGAAAACCTTGGCTCCTTGGATCCCAAATACGAGTTCATAGATAAATTCCTTAGTTACAAAGACTTCTTATCCTCAAAAGTAATTGAAATGGCATTTCGATCTAATGACAGCCCTGGTAATGGAGATTCTGGTTCTGCTATGGATTTTGATGCCGATGCACAGGTTGTTAAGGTAGGGAGCAAGAAAGGGAGGAAAGGGAAGAAAGTGAGTGCTGCGGTGCTGAATTTTAACGTTGTTAGCAATCGAATAATGAAGGGTGATATTCAGACCGTTGAGGATTAGCTGAAGACTAAAGCTTCTTAAAGGCTTTAGCAATGTACATACATTTTCAGGATTATCATCTGTAAATGTTCTTAATGACCATTTTGATTACATTTGTTCTTCGTTTTTTGTTCTGCTTTAGGGTTTAGGGGCAGCTCAATCGGTTTTGTTTGAAGAAACTGATGGTGTCATGGGATTTTGTGGAATAGGCCTACCTTTCCATGTCTTACTTGCTAATCTGATAGTTTTAATGGCGTTTTACCCTAATAAATTTATTTCAGATTTATGATATGTGAGAAATATACATTTGCAAGGTGCTTTTTTGGGTTTGGTTCTAAGTAGAAACTCTCACTTCTCTCTACTTGTTAGGTTTTGTTTGTGACAGCTTTTTTATTGTTTTTTAAAGTAAATTTTTAATATAAAAATTAAAAAGTTGCTCTATGAAATAATTAAAAAGCTGTCCGAAACTAATAGGGTATTCTTTTGAAGATGGGCCTAATTTTTGGCACTTGTGCCTTCTTTAGGCTTCGTTTGGGATGATTTTTTTTATTGCTTATTAAAGTATTTTTTAGTATAAAAATTAAGATTTTAGTATTAAAAAGCTGCTTTAAGAAGCAGTAAAAAAGTTGTCCCAAACAAAGCTTTTAGTTTTCATTTGGAATGGCTTTTTTTTTGCTTCTTAAAGTAGTTTTTGAGTACAAAAATTTTAACTTTTGTATTAAAAAGTTATTTTAAGAAGCAATAAGAAAGCTATCCCAAATGAAGCTTTAGTTTTAGTACAAAATCTCTATAGGCATCGGGGATTGTAAATTTGAATACATGTTAAGGGTTACTAAAATGTTTCATTGAAGTATTATAATTATTATGTGTTGGAAAATTAATAATGATTGAGTATATTACAAGTTTGTCTATTATGTAATTTAAGGTGCAAGAATTTGTTGTTTTCCACAATTGGATAAGATGTGATTGTATGATTGAAAATAGTTGTGCAATTTTTAATGTAGGGGTTGCAAAACTTAGGTGTTCATAGGTGAATGATAAGTCTATTAATAGTGTTAAATGTTACTGGTCTATGTGAGATGATGATGATGATGATAGTGATTGTTGATAATAGTTGTTGTCAATAATTATTGGTAAATACAATATTGTTTTAAAGGTGATATTTTACTATTTTGATAAATTTGTCTAAAATTCAACATTTTAATTTATATTGATTTATTTGATTATAGATTATCAATCTATCATTTGAGTTTCTTAATGATAAGAACAATGAATGACTTTATCCCTATTAAATTCTTTTCGTTGAGTTTCTTACAAGATATAAAATTCATTTGGTCATGCTGTTAATGTCTTAAAGTTTTAGATTTTTTGATTGTTTGATTTGAGCTCATTTGGATGTAGATCAGATCATTTATGGAGTCAAATGATTTGACTTGTCAAGACATTTAGTTTCACTATAAGTTTGTTGAAATTGGAGTATAGATAATTTTGAATTTAATTTTGGAAGTTTTCAAATATTATCTTGGGATTTGTGTTGACAAAGTGATTTTTTTTAGGCAGATTATTTGCCCTCTTATTTTCAGATGTCAAAACTTGTGTCATTCGTAGATATGTGTGAAATCTTTGAATTTTTTTATTCAATTTTATAATTAAAAAAAACTATGAGACACAATAGCTATTAAACGTTAATGTGTACCTTCTCTTAGGGTCATGCTTTGAGTAAATGTTTTTAATTATAATTTAAAATTTTCATGAAATCAATCATAATGGTTTTGTTGAGCTTTGAAAGTATCAAAATCTAGTTTAAAATAGCCCTAAGGACCACAAAAATATTGGAATATACTTGTTTGAGCTCCAAATTGGGCTAAATGGGATGTTTGACCACTAGCTTGTGCTATTTGGTGTGATGCTTGTAGTGATTTTTTATGATGATTTAGGCTTCGTTTGGGACGACTTTCTTACTACTTCTTAAAGCAGTTTTTAGTACAATTTTTTTATTTTTTAACTAGAAAGCAACTTTAAGAAGCAATAAAAAAACCGTCACAAACGAAGCCTTACTCTTATTCTATTAGTTTGCCCAACAATATCAATATCCTTTGGCCAAGCAATGCGTGATACTGGACAACATTTTAGTAGAAAATTTACAAGTAGTGTACTCCCAATTTCCTTTGACGATTTTGATTATGATCTTATCTACTCTTGAAAATTGAATAAAGGTTATGTCAATACTATGCACCAATATCTCCTTAAAAATAACCCTTTGTTTCAACAAAAAATTGCGTATATGAAACTACTCATCACATTATAGCTTCGTTTGTGTCAGCTTTCTTATTATTTTCTAAAGCAGCTTTCTAATACAAAAATTTCTAATTCAGAGCTCCAAATTGGGCTAAATGGGATGTTTGACCACTAGCTTGTGCTATTTGGTGTGATGCTTGTAGTGATTTTTTATGATGATTTAGGCTTCGTTTGGGACGACTTTCTTACTACTTCTTAAAGCAGTTTTTAGTACAACTTTTTTTTTATTCAAGAAATTTTTGTATTAAAAAGCACCTTTAAAAATCAGTAAGAAAGCTGTCTCAGACGAAGCCTATGTTTAGTAATAACTTCCAAATCTTTTGAACTCCATATAAATATTATTGAAGCAAATTAGTTTTCTAAATTTTATTAGAAATTTTTTGTCAGCTAACATAATAAATATCACCTAAGCTTATATATCTCAGTTTGCCATATATCTTAGCTGATTGACCAATACTCAAAACAAAGCTAATAACAACCATAAGAATATATTATATAATATTTGTTAATATATCAATAAATTAGTATATAAAAGTGTGCAATCTTCAATCCTTCACTCAAAAAATAAATAATAATTTAATAATAATAATGTATGAATAATAAAACATTAATTGAAAATAAAATCAAAGAATTCTTTTGTTATATGATTTTCCTATCATTCCTACTTTAATATGAATATTTTATTTGAGTATTGAAAATAATAACTTTATAAATGCATTTTATAGATTCCAAATTAATATTCATCCAATAAAAATAACAATATTTTTATATCTCATAGTTTGTCTCTTATTGAAAGAATACAATCCTTAAGAAAACAAGAAATATCTTAACTATATATTCATTATATACCACATATAATATTGAGCATAATAAAAAAGATTAAAAAAAGGACAAAATAGAATATGAAAGCAACCTCAACTTATTATTATTATTTTATCATCATATCACCAATGATTTATCCCCATCAATTTCTTATTCAATGAATAACACATTGTATCTCCCTCCATCTAATCCTTGGTAATTTCAAATGTAATTGAAGGCTAGTTTACTATTAAATAAATTTTATCTAATGACAATAGTAATATTTATATATCATATAATATGTTGCTTATAGAAAGAGTATAATCCTTAAGAAAATAAGAAATATCTTGAGTTATCATCTATTGAGTATATATATATTCATTATAATCTATATTCAGTTTATATGATTGTAAACCTAACTAAATCCTGATATTATATATCATTTAGGGATTTCAGTTCAACTCTAATGCAGCCACATTTAGAATCTAATTTTTTTTAAAATGTAATTGAAGTCTAAATTGCTATTAAAGTATTTTTATAAATTCTTAATTATATAGGGATGATAGCTATGAATTTCTTTAATTTTTTTCTTTAAGTTTATGTTGTTGTTCTTTATTTCACACATTATTGACTCATTTTTTTTATCCCCTCTCCTAAATTATAAGATAAAGGGGACAAATCCAATAGATTGAGCGGTTTGAGATTAATTTGACAATTTAATGCTTAATTTGATACAAAATAGTCCATCTCTCGTTTCAACACAAATATGTCAATACTAAACCCTAATGAACCCAAATTCAATGCAACATATGTTGATGATGTACAAACCTAATTATGATGTTGAAATTATTGTCAATGCTTACCATGCAATATCTTTTAATGTCAAATTTACATAATGGGACCAATTCAATGGATTAAATTAGAAAAATAGATTATCATTTACATAATGTGACCAATTCAATGAACAAGACACAATAAGATGATCAAATGAATAATTTAAACAAAATTTAAGCATGAGATGATCACACAAAAACTTCATTTTCACTCTTGAAAAGAAAAGTTCTTTAAAAAAAGGATAAAAATTTTGATTTCTCACACCTTGATTATCATTAAGGTTTCGTTTGGAGCAATTTTCTTACTGTTTCTTAAAGCAGCTTTTCAATATAAAAATAAAAAATTTTATACTATAAAACTACTTTAATAATCAATAAGAAAGCCGTTCTAAACGAAGCCTAAAATTCTCAACCATCACCTTTAAATTTTTGTTTGGGATAACTTCTTTACTACTTTCTAAAGCCGTTTTTAGCGTAAAAATATTTTGAACTAGAAATTTTTGTACGATAAAATTACTTTAAAAGCAACTAAAAAAATTATCTGAAATGAAATCTAAGTACATTGATCATGAAATGTAGTTATCAATCAATATCTTTCTCTTAAATAAATTATATCAAAGCACCTTTCTACATCTCCCTTTCACTCAAAGCATGGCCCACACCAACATGAACATCACAAATAATAATAAAATAAATAAATATTTATAAATACTATGGCCTTAGATACTTAAGACCTTCCTCATAAACCACCTTTACCGCCCCACAAAAGAACAAGATTGCAAGAAAAGAGGAAAATAATAATAATAATAATAATAATGATAAAAACTATATCTTAAATAATTTTGTCAGATTTAGTAGTACTGTTGTCCACCATCTCATTGTCATCATGAGGAGGCAAGAAAGATGGGACATGTAATATTAAAATCGAACACATAAGTTCTATAATTTAATTAAATTTATTTTTATCTATTTATTTCATTGATAAAATAATCAATTAAAATATTTTTACCCCTTTTTGATAAATAAAAAATGAAAATAAAACATGTAAAATTTATTAATTAAACTTATTTAGCTTGGAAGAAGGCTTTGTTTGGCACGACTTTCTCACTGTATTATTTTTCATAATGCAACCTCAACTCACCTTGGCTAAAAAAAAAAAAACTCACTTTGACTAATATTTTTTTTAATTATTTTAGATATTTTTATAGTAAATTTTTTTTTTTCATAATTAGAATTGTTAATATGTAACGAGTACTAGCAATGAATAGAATAATAGACTTTTATTTGAAAATAAATTTAATTTGTTGAAATAATATTAAATCAATTATAAAATAAATATATTAACTTTAAATTATTTTATTATTTTTTAATGATAATAAATGATATAAAAATATTAAAATAGTTTATATTTAAAGATATCTTATATATTATTATTTTAAAATTATTAAAAATAAATTATAAATATATATCAACATTACTTCTCCTTGTGCAATTACAAATGAGACAATAATTGATGATTGCAGCTTGCATTATTGGAACATATAAAATCAAAAATTTCAAAATAAATAAATAAATATATTTATTTATTCAAATTCGATGAATCTTCAATTTAAAAAAAATCATTATTTAATTTATGCCATCAACTTATTAATTAAAAATTAATTTTATTATTATATGATAAAATTAGTGGATGGAAGCTTTTTATTTTTTATTTTTCAGGATTAATGAATGTTATTAGATAATTTAAACATATTTTGAATAGTGAGATTAATATTAAAAAAAATTTATCACCCATTTTTTGTCTAATTAAATGATAAAATTAACAATAAAGTATATTAATTTAAATTTGATAAGGTTGAGGATTAATTTAAATTTTTAAATAATTAAAAAATCTATTTTTATTTTTTATTTTTCATGATTAATGAATGTTATTAGATAATTTAAACATATTTTGAATAGTGAGATTAATATTAAAAAAATTTTATCACCCTTTTTTTGTCTAATTAAATGATAAAATTAACAATAAAGTATATTAATTTAAATTTGATAAGGTTGAGGATTAATTTAAATTTTTAAATAATTAAAAAATCTAAATAAAATAATATGGAAGAAATTGAAGGAAAAAATAATAATAAACTATTTATTTACTTCTAAAATATTCATGATAAATTTACATTAACAGTACCAGTGTTAGAACAATTACAAACAGGACATAACTTGATGATCGGAGCGCAGGCAGCACAGAGACAGAGATGGCGGCAAGGGAGAATCAGTACCGTCGTCTCCCTCTCACGGCAGCTCCGGCAAGCTCTCACCAACCCTGCGGCCGCCGCCGTCGACGTATCTCTATCATCATTACCGCCGCCGCAGCAGCAGGATTCAGCGTCATTAGCCGGAGAAGCTTCCTCAATTAGCTGTTGCTCCTCTTTAATTCGAATTTGGGCGGCGAGGAGTTGCTCGAGATTTGTGCGGAGGAGATTCGCCGTCGCCTCATTCGTCTGAGCTAGCTCCTTCCATATCTCATTCTCGACCGTTAGAGTTCGAATTCGCTCTTCCATCGCCCAATTCAGCTTCTTCAACCTCTCAATCTCGTCTTCTCTCGCCTTCAATCGCTTACTCACGGCTTCCTCTATCGCCACCACAAGTTGCCGAGAGAATCTCCTTCGCCTCTCTGTCAGCTCCAGCCTCATTCTCTCAGCCTGTGCGACATAAAAAGATCAGTTTGGGCTGATAATTAATGGGAAGATCAAATTTTGGCTAATGGGGAATGGAAAATTACATGATGCAGAACGAGGCGATCGAGATCGAGCATCTGTTGCTGAAAATAAGAGGAGAGATCTTCGCCGAGGAAGGAAAGAGGCTCTCTTGCGCGCTTCTTGCCGGAGATAGTTACGCCGCTCTCCGATGAGGCTAAGAGCGGCGCCGGCACTACTCCGGTATGAGTATTTCCGAGCATCGCCGGAGCTTGAGACTCTGTGAACTTCCCAAGGTCTCTGTTTTCACAAGAGAAACACGTAAGAACAGAGCTTTATATAAGAATTTAATGGGGAGAGGGAGAGAGGGTTAAAGAGATGGAGTACCGGTTCATGAGAAGTTGCGGGGAGAAGAGGTGAAGATGGTGCGCTTCAACGGCCATGGTATGAAAGGTGGGGATAAATGAGAGAGGGGTGGGGGGTTTATTACAAGTTTGGTCGAGAGAGAGAGAGAGAGAGAGAGAGAGAGAGATGGTAGAGAGAGAGAAAAGAATATTGGGTATATATAAAGAAGAGTGTGCGGCAAGGCAATATGGAAGATACACGAGTGGTGGGAGAGAAGATATTTGGTCATTTCTCTTAATAGTGTTTTAGCGATCAAGAATATATTTTTTTGTTCATATTTTGATTTAGAATAAAAAATATTTGACAAATTAAAACATACTATGTTTTATTTAATTTTAAATAAAAAATTTATACATTGATGATTGATAAGGGATGATAGTTTACAGTGGTAGGAGATGGCAACTGATGATGGTCAAAGATAGCGACCAATGGTGAAAGAGTGGTGCTGGGGTGACGATGATTATAAATATTTTAAAAAATTGTATTTAAAAATTATTGTGAGTGCTTTTAAAAAATAAGTTAATATGTTTTCTTGATTAACTGTATAGTAAGCAAATGTTCATATTATCAAAAATACAAGTGTTGGATCTTAGACTAGTTGATATCATACCAGTAACCACAAAATATGATCAACATATTGAGTAGATAAGCATAGTAAAAGTTGTTTATCAAGATTTTTATTTATGGAGTAAGAAACAATAAAATTTTCTTTATTAGAAGAATTAAGCAACTATATAATAAGTAAGAAGACATATGGTTACTTGAATCTCTCTCTCTCTCTCTCTCTCTCTCTCTCTCTCTCTCTCTCTGACTTTTTGACTCTATGTCTCATTGTTTAGAATAAGAGTGCTCTCCTTCTAGGTCTAAACTCTCAAGATTTGCTCCACCAATTATAATACCACTTTATGAATGTAAGAGTTAGGTTGTCATCATAATTGCTTCGTAATAATGTTCTTAACTATGGAGTCTCTTGTCTCTTAGGTACCATGTCAAAGACTTATATGAGCTTTTCTTGGCCTTGATTTTGTATATAAGTATCCTAGCTTTTTTAGGGTTTCCTCTTGGCAACATAATAATCCTCTTAAGAATCCCCTTATTTAGTAAGTTATTCGTCATGCAAATCTATCATGCCTTCCAAAGTCACATATCTATTGACCACTTAGAGCTTTGAATTTATTTAAGTCTTTTTTAGAGTGAGATTTGTGTTAAGAAAGAGAATATTAAGCAAATATTTATTAATATAGATGTAAATTAAAACAACAACATCAAGCCTTTATCCCACTATGTATGGTCAACTATATGAATCTTTTTTCTGAAATGAGTCCTATTAAGAGTCAAATTCTCATTTAAATATAATAATAATGGTCATTTCTAATACTTTTTAATGCAATCTTTTTAGGTCTACCTCTACATTTCTTAACATAGGCCTAATCTAATATATATTCAATATTAATCGGGTCATCAGATGACCGTTTGATGCTATATATAGATGTAAAGTACACAAAAAATGAACAAGGGAAGCTTATGAAACAAGAGGAGGAGGGGGGGGGGAGAGAGAGAGAGAGAGAGAGAGAGAGAGAGAGAGAGAGAGAGATCAGAAGAGAGATTATATGGAATTCTTATTTTTTACTAGCATTGATGATATATATGCTTACATTATTCTAAACTTAATTGTGTTTTCTAGACTAGATGATGCATCCAACAAATATGATTTAAGCTCTTTTACAAAGAAAGATAGTTTATGCAGTCATTGTACCCATATTATTTTTTATTATAATTTAATTATTTTTACTTCTCATTTCTACCACTTGTTTCTCCTAATTACAACTAATAACTAGCATTTATTTTCATTGATACTTTTGTTTGCTAATGCACAATGTGATAGTGTATATATGTATTCCAATTAGAAGACAAAAATATATTATGCTATATATTATTACTCAAAGATGCTTGCATAATAGTTAGCACTTGTCTTCTTCCTCCACTACTTAATTTTATGTGAAATTGGTGTTGGAGATAAATGCACACAAAGGAAAACACCTTAATCTCAATGATGATTAAAATCAGGAGCACTTATGGGAAACTTAATCCATCCTTGAGAATAAATTAAAAGTTCTCTCCATTGACTTCAACAATTTTTTATAGAAAACTATTGAGAGATTCTTGCATTTAGGAACTAACACAGCATTGTCGATAATCACATCAATTAACTTGTCAATCATACTAATGATGAGAACTCTATTGTCATGATTTAAGATCTACAACATCCCAATGATAAAGTTTTGGTGCACTTTGAGTTTTCTAAATCCAATGATGAGTGTTACTCGGCCTCATCAATGAACACCTACTTGGACTTTGATTCGAAGTTTGAAAGATTGTCTTTAGAACATCCTCTAAGATGAAGATATCACTAATAACTAAATTAAAATTATTTTAAGATAAAATTGATATCCCATTTAATTAATATATATTTTATTCATAATACTAGAGGTTCTCATAAGAATTTTAAACAAACTATACCTACGTACACTGAAGAATTCTATCTACTTTGTGTAAGATATAATATGAAAAAATATATCAACAACTTGTAGTTTCATACAACTGAGTTTTAAAAGACGCCATCCAAGATAATCTTGAGATGAAATTAATATGATCTCTATTATATGATGTTTACTTAGCTTATAAACTTAATTAAAAATCCTAACATGCAACAAATAAATATCATTTCATGTAGTAGGTTAATGAAACAATAAAACTTACCCCACTGGCCAACAAACTAAGCTCCCTTTAATCCCAAATGCCTGAGGCCAACACAAGAGCTAATGAAGAAAAGTTTCCAATAAGAATTGGGCTAAATTGGGCTAACATATATAACAAATCAAGACCATCAAAATACTTTTGATGTTTCTAGCTTGGTTATCACTTGATTGAATGCCCCAATTGATGTTCCTTACAATTGTTGGATGATGAATAATATGAAGATGGTTCTAGTAATTCTTCATTTATGAATGAAGAATTTAAATAAAATTTTGAAGTTAAAATAGAATTCCTTTTTTTTGTATCCTCAAGAAGGCATGATTAGCTATTAAGCAAAATATTACTAGTTAATAACATACTATTTAGAATAACATTTACCATAGATCAGACTAGTAGCAAAGTGTGAGAATTCTTAGTGGACAGTTGATACACAAAAAACATAAAATTTATATTAAAGTTAATACATTTTTATTGAAATTTTCAAAAACTCACATTACAAAAAAAATATCTAAAGTAAAGTGCACTTGACAGGAAAATGAATGTAAAGTGATGTTATCTATCTACTGACTACTGGTAAGAATTTCATTTACAAAGTTCTATATGATGTACCAAAAAAAATTACATGTCAGTTAATATAAAGATGATTGTGGCAATTTGATATATGAGATTCATATGATTGTCACTCTAATTGTAATTCATTTGATTATAAGGGAAAGAAAATCAAATTTCTACCATTGCCTTTACGGACAAAGACAACTTATATTAGCAACCCATCTTCACAAGTGACACGGAGCCTCAACTACTTATAGATTACAAAGAAGAGTTCAAGATGTTTATAATTCTTAATATTGGGTAGAATTTCATAGTAGATGAAATTTGTACTGTTGTACTGTCTTTCCTATAGCAATTTGTGGACGTCGTGCCTATTGAATTCTCAAATCGCCTATTACCATTTTGAACCCATTAATAAAAAGTTGACTTGGTTCCAAGGTCAACACTACCAAATTAATTGCACTATATGACGAGTCTAAAGAAATATAAGATTTATAAAATAATTTTTGTGTTATACTATTCAATGATATCTTTTTAAAAGGAATTAACTGTGCATTCCTAATACTTTCCTTTAGCTTTAATTAATTATGGACTCGCACTATGGTGGTTTTACTATATGTACAAGGTATAACAAGACTTTATTGTTTAGGGTTTATATTTTTTACATAAAACTTAAAAAGTGAAAGAAACTATGGACCTTAACCTGTTTGAAGTAATCCACTATATACTTAGAAGTTAGAAAAGTTCTTTCTTCTCTATAGATTTGATAATACAAGATTATAAAGTTCAAATCACTTAATCTCCTGTAGTTGTAATAGATATTCTGAGAGAAGCAGTACACTGTTGATGAAAACAATTAAAGAAAGCCTGTCATAAAATGATAGTTAGATGGCATATGTCAGATGATAGTGTTCAGACGTTGATAGTTAGTTAAGGTAACCAAATAATAATAGTCGAATGATAATAGTTGTAGAAACTAGAGGTTCTAAAGAAGAGAGATGAGAAGAACACAACGTGTAAAAGTAAAGCTATTCATTATCTAAAAGATCTTACAAAAGGTTCTCTGTTGTGGTCTTTAAATAGACCTGATGTAAATCAAGAATACAGACTCTAACTGACATACTTTTGTTTATAAAAACCTATCCACTAATATGCTGCCACGTCATCTTCTTGAGAAACGTACAGAAGCTTTTTATGAATTAACTTGTTGCTTCTAATACTCCCCTGCAAACTAATGAGTCTTTGATGACCGTTAGTTTGTTGCATAATGTTTGGAAACGCTTGGTGGATAGAGATTTAGTTAAGATGTCTGCCACTTGATCAACCGTGCTTATGGGACAGATACATATATGATTGCTGTGAATGTGATCCCGGATGAATCTATGATCAATTTCGATGTGTTTAGTCCTTGCATGAAAAACCGGGTTGTTAGCTAACGCGATAGCCGAGGTATTGTCACAAAATATGCTGGTTGGTGAATCTTGAGGAATGCCGAATTCTTGAAGAAGTCTTCTAATCCAAATTACATCCGAAGTGAGTGCAGCTAATGCCCGGTACTCAGATTCAGTTGAGGATCTGGCCACGGTTTGCTGTTTTTGAACTTTCCACGAGATGATTATATCGCCAAGAAAAGAGCAGTATCCTGTTGTGGATTTCCTGGATATAGGGTCTCCCGCCCAATCAACATCTGAAAAGGACGTAAGAATTAAGTTAGTTTTTGTAATTGGGATGCCAAAATCAAGCGTACCTTTGATATATCGTAGAAGGCGTTTGAGCATGTAAAAATGCTGAGGTTGTGGCTCGTGCATATGTTGGGATAACTGGTTAACGCTGAATGCTATATCAGGCCGAGTTATTGTTAGATATTGTAATGACCCAGTCAAGCTCCGGTACATGTTGACATCGTTGCAGTCAGGTTGTATATCGTTCGGCAGTTTGGTGCAGGTAGGATTAGACAGCGGGTTACACGCAGATAAATTAGCTTGCTGAAGAATTTGAGATGCATATTTTTGTTGTGAGAGAAAGAACCCCTTGGTATATCGCTGAATGCTAAGACCTAGGAATTCGTTTACTGTACCAAGATGTTTCATGGAAAAAGCTTTATTAAGTTGAGCTAGTATTTCGTTGATGACATCGTTATTATTACCAGTAATAAGGATGTCATCAACATATACTAGGAGAAAAATACGAGCCTTGTCTTTATTGTAAATAAGTAGAGAAGGGTCAGATTTACTGTGGGAGAATCCAAGAGAGACAAGAAAAGTAGTAAACGTGTTATACCATTGTCTGGGTGCTTTCTTCAAACCATAGATTGATTTGTGTGAGCGGCATACATGATTTGGAAAGGTGGAATCTTCAAAACCTCGTGGTTGTGTCATGTAGACTGTCTACAGTAGTTGTCCGTGAAGAAATGCATTTGCAACGTCTAATTGCTGTACGGGCCAATCATGGTGAAGGGCAATGGCCAGAAGTATCCTGATAGTTGGTAGTTTAGCCACGGGACTAAACGTCTATGTGTAATTAAGACCGTATTCTTGATGATTCCCTTGAGCAACTAGGCGTGCTTTGTATTTAGCGATCGAGCCATCATTGTGATGTTTGGTTCTATAAGTCCATTTACAACCAATAATTGCCGTATTAGGAGGAGCCGGTACAAGACTCCAAGTACCTTGTTGTTGGAGTGCTAAAAATTCTGATGCCATTGCTTGACGCCATTCCTTTTGCTTGACTGCATCTGAATAAGATGTAGGATCGGATTGAACAATTGCTGTGTTCTGCTTATGGATGAGATTTAGTCTATGGAGAGGTTTAAGAGATCCAGTTCTGCTTCTGGTGATCATGTGATGTGTTGTTGTAGTTGTGTCAGGGATGGGGTAGGATGAATCAGAAGGTGGTGGCAGCCCTTGTGAGCCGGATGCAGTAGGAGGTTCCTGAGGTACTTGAATGCAAGAAGAGGTATTGGGTAAGTTAGTAGATGTGGTTGTGAAACTTGAAGGTTTGCTGCAGGTAATGACAGAAGTTGGAGTAAGCAGGAATGGAGATATCTCATTCGTGATCGATTCAGGATCTTTGACAGCCTTAGCAAATGGAAACACCTGTTCATTAAAGTGGACATGCCGAGACATGGTAACTTTGTTAGTATGTATGTTAAAACATTTGTACCCCTTATATCGGAATACCCTATAAAAACATGAGAAATAGCTTTGGGTTGCAGTTTGTGACGAAATTGAGCTGGTACGAGAGGTAGGCATTCGCATCCAAAAACTTTCAGATGGCTGTATTCCGGTTTGATTTTGTGAAAGAGTTCATACGGCGATACATTATGGGTTGTGTGAGATGGCAGTCTATTTATGAGGTATGTAGAAGTTAGCGCCGCATCTGGCCAGAATTTGTACGGGAGAGTTGCCGTATGCAGTAGGGTGCGCGTGGTCTCTATGATGTGGCGGTGCTTGCGCTCGGCTAGTCCATTTTGTTCCGGGGTGTATGGACAAGATATTTGGTGTTGTATTCCGTGAGATTTGAGGAAGTTAGCAAATTCGTGATTCACATACTCAGCACCTCCATCGGTTCTCAGAATTTTTATCTTGTGATTTGTATAATTTTCCACTTGTGTTTTAAAATCTTTGAAAGAAAGAAAAACTTCAGATTTTCTGCGTAGAGGAAATAACCACGTGAACCTGGAAAAATCATCCACAAATATGACATAAAATTTGTATCCTTGAAAAGAATCTACTGGGGCCGGACCCCATACATCAGAATGAATAAGAGCTAAGGGAGTGTGTTGACGATGTTTCGATAGTTCAAATACATTTTCATGACATTTTGCTGTGTTGCAAGAAATACAGTTATTAACAGATTTTCCTAAACGAAGAGAAGGATGGGTAGTAGAAAGTAAATCAAAAATTCTTGAGTGCGGATGCCCAAGTCGGCGATGCCAAAACGTGGCCTCAGTTGCTGAAGCAGTGAAGGCTGGATGTTGTGTGGCAGCAGCGGCTGGCATGGTATAGAGACCATTACTACATGGCCCTTGAAAGATTACTCTGTGCGTCTTCAGGTCCTTCAAGACAAAGCCGGTAGGGTCAAAAATGATAGCAATGTTATTGTCCTTAGTTAGTTGTGAGATTGAAAGAAGATTGTAACGAAGAGATGGCGAATGTAAAATGTGTGATAAATTTAGCTTACTCGACGGGGTAGGGAGGATTCCCGCCCCCGTATTTGCGATGTGGATGGAGCTACCGTCTCCAATGGTGACGCTGTCGGAGCCATTGTATTGATGTGAGATCGAGAGATTGTCCAGAGAATTGGTTAGGTGCGTAGAGGCTCCTGAGTCCAGATACCAATTGTTGTCCGAAGGATCTTGATGCGCCGTAAGTGCCGTGGTTGTCTGTCTTGGTGCTGGAACGTAGTTGGCATTTAGTCGATGCCAACATGCTTGTGCCGAGTGCCCCTTCTTGAGGCAGATTTGACAGATCACCGGCGTAGTAGATGTTGATCTGGGCTGAGTATTTTGATTGTTATAGTTTCTTGTCCTGTTTCTGCGACCACGACCTCTGTAAGTAAAAAGAGCTGTAGTCGGATCGGAAGAAGGATGTGATCTTGTAGCCTCAGCAGCTAGATTGACTTCTTCACTGAGAAGAAGAGGGTACAGTTGATCCAAGCTGATCGGTTGGAGCATAGTGCGAATGGCAGTTTTAAAAGATTGATATGATTGAGGAAGTCCGTTGAGAATGTATAGGATTATGTCCTCTGTGTCAACGGTAGACCCAGCAGAAGCAATTTGATCAACCAACGACTTGATTTCGGTAAGGTATTGGGTCATTGTAGAATTCTTGAGAGTAATATGGTGGAGTTCATTCTTGAGCTGAATGACCTTGGAGCGATTGGAGGACTGAAAGCGAAGTTCTAAGGTTTTCCATATGGAGGCAGTGGTGTCAAGGGAGATGACATAGGGTAGAACAGTGGGAGATATGGTGGAACAGATGGATGCAGAAAGATTTTGATCCGTAAGGATCCATTGAGAGAAGGCAGGGTTAGAGATTTGCAAACCATCAGACGATGTTAGATGGCTGTCTGGAACCGGAGAAGATGGATCAAGAAAACTCTGAAAGCCATTTGCACGCACAATCTTCAGGATCTGCGATTTCCAGATGGGGTAGTTCTCTGGCGATAGTTGAGTTGATATCACGTTCTTGATATTGGAGACAAGAAACTTCAATTTGGAGGAAATGACCGGATCTGCATCATCTTTGCCGGAGTTATGTCCGCTGTCTGCAGCGGTGGAGGTAGAGCTTTGCGACATTTTGTCAGGATCAAGACCTATCTGATACCATGTAGAAACTAGAGGTTCTAAAGAAGAGAGATGAGAAGAACACAACGTGTAAAAGTAAAGCTATTCATTATCTAAAAGATCTTACAAAAGGTTCTCTGTTGTGGTCTTTAAATAGACCTGATGTAAATCAAGAATACAGACTCTAACTGACATACTTTTGTTTATAAAAACCTATCCACTAATATGCTGCCACGTCATCTTCTTGAGAAACATACAGAAGCTTTTTATGAATTAACTTGTTGCTTCTAATAATAGTAAGATTGTAGGAGATGGACTATAACAATTAGACGACAATAATCATTTGGTGAAGTTTGGATGACTGTGGTTAGACAATAGTGATTAACGAATGATCGTTAGCATCTAACATTGGATAGAACTCAAGATTTTTTTAAACCTCCAAGTTCTCTCTAATCTCAGGTCTCAGTCCTCTTTCATATGGAGTGCATAGGTCTATTTCTAATATTTCAGGAGTAAAATTTTAATAAATTTGATAAAAAAATTCATAACACTCTCTCATATAAATCATATTAACTTTTTTTATTATTAATCATTTATTTGGAATTTAAGTACCTTAATGACCTTGAAATTTAATGATCTTAGACTTGTTTTTTTGTTTAATTTTTTTTAACTGATTTTGGTCTTGTTTGATTTATTTTATCGAGCTACTTGATTTTAATATAAATAGAAAAGATTTGAAGGTCGTATAATCAATAAATATTCACATGAAAAAAATATTTTTTAATTAAAATCTATTAAAAATATTTATGGCGTCATTCATAGATATTTTCGAGTAATTAGTAAATTAATTTTTTATTTTCCTTATTTAGAATCCTAAATCTCTTTTTGTTATTTGAGATTTTTGGATTATAGTTTTGATTACTTTTCTTACTTGTAACCTCTTTAGCAATGAGATGGGCTTTATGCCCCAAAATTTCCCCAAAAAAAAAAAAAAAATATAAAATAATATTTAAATTTATACGAGGTCGGGGAATCCGAGCTGACACGAGACGTAGTTGGCACGTGTCCGCAAAAGACGACCGGTGAGATGAATGGGGTCCCACACATTCATGACAGGCGCATCTATACGAATGGATCGGACATGTGGGCCCCGCACGGCATCCCCTGGCTAGGTCACTCGCCCGGCCTTTTTATTTTATTTCTTATTCCTTTTTCTATTTTTTATTTCTTTAAAAATAAACAGCAATTCGTCTAATTGAGAAGATATTATTAGGTACAGAGTTGGGACATAACTTTTCGTCTAGATTCCAATCACATAAAAATACTTATATTTTATCTCTTATATATTTCATGCGTATAAAAGGTAAAATTATTGTGTGCAGATACGGATGTCGTATAAAGGCGAATTAGAATGCGCCACATCACTTTTTTTCTGTGTATCACGGCTGTGTACCGACGTAGCACGTTCCGATTCACCTACGCC